TCGTTGTGTTCACTCCCAGGGGAACTACTTCGAGGGTGATGGATGAATTTAATACCTGAGATAAGTGTACGGGTTTTTATAGGCGCAGTCTTGAAACTTTCTGATCGCACCTCGTATACCACACTACACGGCGCTACATCCTAGAAGACAGCCACCTTCGGACTCAGAGCCGTGAGAACCTAAAATCCTACTTCGTATTAGCATAATTTATCAGCCTCGATTATGTAATCGACAACTGAAATTAATTACTATGGGTATGCACTTCGGTTCGCTTAGTGCTGTTCCCATGGAAACATTGATTGCAACCGCTGTTGCCTGACGCAATGAAAACTTTGAAGATTGCTGTCTTCTGGGTTATCGCGCCACGAAGTCTGGTAATTTCCAGGTGGAGGTGGAAATCTACCAGACTACACGGCGCAATAACCCAGAAGACAGCAACTTCAGACTCACCGCTGTGAAAACCTCAAATCCTACAATGAAAACCTTATTTTTAAAACTGTTATTGTTAAGCCAGTTTCCTACTTATAGATGCATTCCGTAGTAAATTTTATTTTGAAGGGAAGTGTCACTGTATTGTATACAACAGAAGCGATTTATTCCGATCGATTCTGACTGCTTCGTTTGTTTCGATACGTTTTCGGCCTGGAGATGCGTGTAGTTTTTCGGAGGTACTACATTAGAATCTGTCTTTGCATCTTCTATGAAATTCCGGAATGGTACAAGCTCTTCCATCTATCCCCTGTACGCCACTTCACAATTATCATCACCTTTCAGCCCAATGATATCTTTTGTACCACGTGCTTGAAAATTCACTAGCTCTGTTCTTTGACCACATATAAATATATAAACAGTGGTAATTTCCTCAAACAGCGTTAACCAGCCGATTCGTATACAGATTCGTGTACAGAGGCATTGCAGGTGTTTGAGAACAGGGTGTTGAGGAGGATATTTGGGCCTATGAGAGAAGACGATGGGGTCTGGAGAAAACTACATAATGACGAACTTAAAAATATATAGTCAAACCTCGGTTCACGAACGCCTCGGATCACGAACAATTCAGTTTACGAACAAATTTTCCGAACACAAAGCGTCTCGGATGACGTACTGTGTCTCGAGTTACGAACACGCAAGCCGTCAACATCGTGGAGCGATAAGCTGGGAGTATCAGCGTTGGCAGTATTCGTAGAAGAATGATCCAGCATGGGGCCAAAGAAAGACAATGATAGCAGCAAAGTGAAAAGAAAAAATACCAATATCATGATAGATGTTAAGAAAGAAATCATAGCCAAACATGAAAATGGTGTTCGTGTCTCTGATCTTGCTACTCAGTTTGGGATGGCAAAATCAACGATCTGTACTATTCTTAAAAATAGAGAGACAATCAAGAAAGGCGATGTTGCAAGAGGAATGACAGTTATTACTAAACAAAGATCACAGACGATTGGAGAATAGACAAAAACAAATCACACTGGACAACTTTTTAGTGAGACAGAGGCCCAGTGAGTCTGATGCAGAGTCGAGTGGTGCCAAGAGACAGAAAAAAGAAAAAGAATCCCCTTCCAAACAATAACATTTCACTTCCTCACCACCTTCCACTTACGCCGTCAACTCTCCTCCATACAGGTACGGTAAAACTAAATTAAGTTTTCGTCTATATTTGATCTGCTTAGTGTTGTGTTTATCTTTTTTGTGATGTATTTAATGGTTTCCATTGATTTTGTGTTAAGAACTTGTGCACAAAGTACTGTTGCAAAAGTTTAAATAAGCAATCATCTGGGGTCCAGGAATGGATTAATCCATTTTACATTAATTCCTACGGGGAAAATAGTTTCGGTTTACGAACGACCTTCAGGAACGAATTAAGTTCGTGAGCCGAGGTTTGGTCCACTATTTGGGAAGCCTGAGGGGAAGAGACCTCTGGGGAGACCTAGACATAGATGGGAAGATAATGTCAGGCGGGATCTATGGGAGATGGGAGTTGAAGGAGACTGGATTTTGTTGGCCCAGGACAGGGTCCGGTGGAGGGCTTTGGTTAATTCGGTGATGAACCTTCGGGTTCGGTAAGTCATCTAGTTAGTTTAGAATGTCAGTGTACACAAAATAGTAAACTTTCTGAATCTTGTCTTGCAAGTAAACAAACTTTGCACGTGATCTTTATTTGCTTCTGTTGCAGCGCTCACAATGAATATAGACGAAGTTGCACACGACAATGCAGCAGAAACTGCAACAGAGCAAACAAATCCTTTACTCAATCAAAGGAGTGATGAAAATGGTAAACAGCAGAAACATGTAAATGCATTCTTTAAGCAAAAGAACTTTATGAGCATGGGTTCAGACCTAGGCAAGGGGAAAGATTCATTATCTACCATAAGTTTATGTATTCACTGCATCATGTGCACACACTGAATGCTCAGTGGTGATTTATGTTTCGTATTAAAAACTATTTCGAGTAACGGTAAATTTAATTTGGTTTTGTTGGTCTGTTATAATCCTAGTCTGCATGAAACTCAACTCACAACTTCATCAGTGTTCTTAAAGAGTGTAGTAATTTTCCTAACTTGTTTACCTCTATATGTAAATGATACCCATTTATCTTTTTCACTGATTTGGTGGGGATTGTTATTGTTTTCTTCTGTTTAGTTCGAGAGTAATTTCGTCACTGTATCCATTATTGGTAGTTATTTTAATTACTGTTATGTTCATTTGGTCTTTCCATATTACAGTAGAGTTCCGATTATCTGACCTAAACGGGACCGAAAGATGGTCGGATAATCGAAAATGTCGTGCGATATGGAAGACTGATGAAAAAGACTAGGGTAAATATCAATTCAAATTATAACTAAATTTACGAAAGTATTTAATTTCGAAGAAAATACAGTGCGGCATCAGATGAAACATCTCACAAATAAAAATAGTATTTAACGTGATACAAATTTGTAAATGAAAGGGTTTGTTTTTTGAATAAATCAGTACTGGATATTTGCTTCCGAGCCTTCATAATTTTCTTTGCAGCAAAGTCACGCCAGCGCCTGAACAGTAGTAGCAGCAATTATTTGTTGTGCCATGCATTAAATGGATGTTGTTAATTTTCAGAACTCTTAAAAATTGTCGAAATGACTGTTATGCAATCTGGAAAAACAGATAATGCTGCTTTAAATGGACAGGGTGAGCCAACAGATTCCAAGCACAGGCAAGTATATATCATTGTTCACTCTACTAGTCATGCAAACTGTCATAAGAATGAAGATAGATAAGCTTGTGGTGATCACTTACTTCATCATAACAACACTAAATGAACTATAATTCAACTGCTTGTTTTATATGGTGTGAAATTCAATGTCGCACTGACAGATACTTTACGAGATACATAAAGAATAATATCTGGAATTATGAAAACAATGAGAATGGAGAAAACTACATAATGAAGGGTTTCATAATTTAACAATTAACACTATACTGTTAGAGAAATGAGTGGGACATAAAACATGCATGGGAGAAATTAGAAATGCATACACAATTTAGGTTCATAAATTTGAAGGGAAGAGGTCGTTCTGGAGGCTTAGGTTTTGACTGACTGATTCTGAGTTTATTTAATGGTGCTGTTCAGTTGCAGTGGTTATTTAGCAATGAATGGCAGAATGAATTCTGAGTGTCGATTTGGAAAGGATGTGAAAGTGATTGTGACCTACTTTAAGGTGGTACTCAAGCTTTTGCCTGAAAATCCTGAGAAAAGCCATAAAAACATCAATGAGGGCAGCTAGCTTCAGAGTGTGACCTCCCTGATGACGGAGGCAGCAACCACCTCTGACACATCACCACTATGAGAACCTGAAATCTCATCTAACAATATCCTGGTGCAAGCCAGTAAAATATAAAATGTATCTCTCTTTTATGGGGTAAACCCCTCAGTCAGTATTTTGTCAGAGGTCTACTGTATAAGATGGCATGATTTCAAAGGTGTCAAGTATGGATATACATTTTTAAATTTTGCCTTTTCTTTTGCCCTCAAGATCCTAACTACAATATTTTGCATACCATATGGCACTTCAATATATTAATAATATTAATAATTAAAAATTTCCAATTTACTGCTTACTCCTATTCAGTGCCAATGCTTGGTGGTGGACACGATGTGGCACTCTAACAGTGTTTGATTCTAGGAGATATTTTGTTATAAACTGGGGTGACTAGATTCAATTCCTGGCAGGATGTTTGAAATTGTCTCAACATTTCATCCCAAACGGGGTCCGAGACCTTCCAGATATCCTGTCCGATAGAATTTGCATCCATCACAGAAATCTGCAAATGAGAATTATTTAAAAAGTATCTCATCAAGTTCATCTCCAGTTCCTCTATGTTGCAGATACTCTGTTCTGAAGAGGACAGGGAAGAGGTTGGCCCCTGCAAATTTATGTCCGCAGATGAACCTTCCCTTACGAGTAGTGACTCTTCTCCTGATACTACTGCTGCTCTGGGGTGTCACATTCACGTTATTCCAGGATGCTGTGCTGCCTCAGGGCAAAGTGTTTGCTCTTGCCACACTTTTTGTACTTGCGTATCTTGCTGGTTGGCTTATTTCATTGATTCATCTCCCACCGTTACTTGGTATGCTTGTGATGGGTATCCTGCTGCGTAACATTGGCTTCTTCCACATGACAGGCCCTTATGCGACTGCTGTGTCCACATTGAGGTAAGAAATGTGGGTGTCTGAATGCCAGAAGCAAGTGGGTATGGTCCAGAATTCTAATGTCTAAACAGCTCAGTACTTTGCACAGGGTGTGAACCTTGCCCTAGGCACAGTACTTGAAGTTCAAAAAATGAACACATAATTTGGAGGCCATTCCTATCTGTTTCATCTCATAAAGTAACTAATTTCAATGACATCTGGTATTATCAGCCTAGAACAAAATTTGAAGGCATATTTGATTTAGACCTGTATCAGTCTAACCGAGTGTCTGCTTTACAGGAAATTAAAATATGCTACAGATTTTCTAAAAATTGCAAAATAATTGGTACAGTGCATATAATATGTATGTCATTAACATACAAGATGATGTCTGTCATTTGGTTTGTAGTGCCACGTAGTCTGGTGGTAAACGTCTACCAGACTACACAGTGCTGCAATTCAGACTCACCACCGTGAAAACCTCATATCCTGCTTATTAAGATATAACGTTTTATTTTGAATATTTTTATCTGATGCATATTTAATTAAATACAATAAAAAAAATTGGTGTAATTTCTTCCATAAGATTGCAGCACAACGTGAATAAAATGAGAATAAATGTTAATAGTGTCACATTACTTTCAAATTATGAAACCAAAATACCCCTTCCCCACATAAAATATTTGATATATTCATTTTGCAGTTTTGAGTGGAGTACATAGAAGAAAAATGTCTCTGGCAATTCTTGTAGCCTGTATTATAAATCTTTAATATCTGTCTTTGCTATAAGAATTCAGTATATTATGGATGCTGATTTGTATCTGCAACAAGTGGATATTAGGACTACACAGGAATGCAGATTTGTAAATAATGTGATTGAAAAAGGCGGACCCCACTGGAGTGTACCTTTCCATTTTTATTTATAAGAAATGTTCCTTCACCTAAGTAAGTTGTAAGCCAAAGCTACTAAGAAAATTATGAATATTTGCTGACCTCTTCAGTCTTCAAATCATGTAACTAAAGTCAATGATATGAAGGCACTTATGACCCTGTGTTTCAGATTGGTAGCAATGGTTGTCATCCTGATCAAAGCTGGTCTCGGCCTGGATGCAGCTGCTCTAAAGAGGTTAAGTTTTGTTGTTGTGAAGTTGGCATTCATCCCATGTCTGGTGGAAGCTGCAACTGTTGCAGTGGTTGCCCACTTGGTGCTGGGGTTCCCCTGGCTCTGGGGCATCCTGCTTGGGTAAGAGCATGACCTGATTGGGAAAGCTGATACCCCTGAGCCTCAGATTGGAGGCTATATCTTTTGGAACAAAACTTAAATATTAAGTACATTAATTTACATAAATGTTACTAGTGCTTGTATTGAGAAATGACTCCTTGGTACAGGATCTTCTTAGCATTGATACTTGGTTGTTCATATTCTTTGTTGTCAGTGAATCTGAAAGATCATTACTGTCATCACAAGACCGAATTATGGGCTTGTTCAGTGCAGTTCACAAATTCACAACATGTTTTTTTTTTAAAAATTCATGCTAGTATTATTCCCTCATCGATGCCTGATCTGCCCCATTGTTTCTTCCTCTGAGGTTTCATAATTAAAATGCTATAGCCATTTCTTTTATCCCTCCATTCATGTTAGATAAACATAGAATCCACAATATATATAAAGCAATACTGAGTTAAGTTCTTGCAAGTCAGTTATTTTATGACAGGTGCTTGCTATTCCATACTGAGATGCTTTCTGCAGCTGGTAAGCAAGAGTGTAAGACTGAAAAATCTGCTGAAGACAGTGTGAGTGTAAAGATGGACTGACATTATTAAGTTTCAATGCAGGAGATAAGGTAACTCTTGCTGAAAGGACATGAAGGTCCAACACCACTAATACCAAAACCTACCACTGAACATGATGTCAAACCAGTTTCATTTGTTTCCCATCCTCAAAAACCATTTTCCTAGGATCTATCTTAATGTTATCTTCCCATCTCCTCCTTATTCCTTCAAGTGACTGTTTTCTTAGATGTGTCTCACCAGCAGCATGAAGCAACTGCTCTTTACCTCTCTCCAAATTAAAGGCTGGTCAGTGATTGGATGACAGGCCAAATGAATATAATTATCTCCAGGCAATTGAGTCATGAATTTCCCTGCCAATTGTGGTACCTGAGAGGCCATGTTCACAAGAGCCCATCACTAGTCCCTATCCTGAGCTACATTACTCCAGTCCACACCCTCACAACTTGAAGTGGGTCCTTTGCCATTGCAGCATGGCAAATTATCTTATTATGGTTGGAGAAGATGACTTCCAGATATTAAGTGTAGCTGCTAGTAGACTTAAATAGCAGTCACAGACAACTAACAAAGGGTAATTTTCCAGCTTGGTTGTTTGGCGTGGGGGCTAACAACTCATCATAAAAACTGGCATGTTAGAAACTATTACACTGGGAAAAGTGCATACAAACATTTGTTAAAAAAGTGTTGCAATCTAGATGTTAACTCCTTGGTTGTGTAATTAAATGATGCGCCATAATTATGTATGTAAAATATGTTTCTAGGTTTGTACTGGGGGCAGTGTCCCCTGCTGTGGTGGTACCGTCATTGCTTGCACTTCAAGGAAAGGGCTATGGTGAAGACAAAGGAATTGCAACTCTTGTCATAGCAGCTTCAAGCATCGATGACATTGTAGCCATCTCAGGGTTTGGCGTGGTTGTTGGACTCATCTTTTCTACAGGTATGAATAATGTTGTTTAAAGCAGGGACAGAAAGCATTTGAAGGAAGTTAGCTGGAATTATTGACAGTTGTGGAGTATGAGAATAGGGAACCTAAAAAAATGGCAACTCCACAAGAATGAGGTTATGTAATAAATGTATAAACTAAGAGAAATGTTTGAGGAAAGAATTGCAGCATATTTTAAGGTATTTTCCCACCATTTGCCAGGAAAGGCCAAGGATAACAAAATATTTCAGTCAGGACAGTCAGTCCCGTTTTGAACACAGCAGAGATATATTTTCTTTTCCACACACACACACACACATGCACACACTTTTTTTTACCACACTCGCCCACTATTTTCTAGTTCTGGTGTGGTGTTACAGGTGATCTGATGCAGCAGTTAGTACATGGTCCCATAGAGGTGGTAATTGGGCTGAGTTTTGGAATAGGATGGGGAATTCTTTTGATGTTCATTCCTCATAAAGATGATGTAAGTATTCATTATAATCTTCATGTCATCTACAATAATAATTTATTTCCCTGTCTTGATGTTTCGCTGTTGAATATTAACCTTCTGATAGGTTATGTTTCACTTGTCAATATTCCTTATTTTTGTGGTGTCTGGCAACTTGAATGTTAAAGAGTCTTTCAAAAGATACCAGTTTCATGGTCAATTAGAATTTTGAGATTATGATCATTTGAGTTAATTTTTCACAACACAGAGGTTATGAGTGCTTCATTCTGTATGGAAATACTGTTTTTGTTTATAGTTCTCAATAGAATAACTGCAAGTAAATACTTTTTTTCTGTCTGTTAATACTCTATATCAGTACAGTACTTTTATTTTCCGTCGTTACACAAGCTTATTGTTAAAATCATATAAAATTTCACATAAAATTGTTACATTTTAAAATTGACGACATGTTTCGATATACAATTCTATCATCGTCAGGTCTATCAAAATTAAAATTAAAATCTGGTGTATCTGTTGCTCTGCTTATATTGCTTATGTTTTTATCCGTTTTTTATTACATCTCCAGGCTTCTTTCATTTAATTTTGGAGACGCGCCTGGGTGCCTATATCGGGTTGTGTGTGAGGTGCGTGTCCGTTGTTATTGAATGGCAGACAGCAACTCTCTATCAAAATTAAAATTAAAATCTGGTGTATCTGTTGCTCTGCTTATATTGCTTTTGTTTTTATCCGTTTTT